TCCATTTATCTGGAATAAAAACAGCATTTTTAAAAGATTATAAGCATATTTATTGCAAAATATAATACACTGGTTTGGCAACGGTTAAACCATTTACCTTTACGCGATAATTATGAAAACAGGCAAAACTATGGCACATGAATACGTTTTATTATTTCAATAAAACAAGACCGAATCAGATGGATTGATGCACATTTAGCGTGTGGATATAGGTCTACTTTATTTATTTCCATGCAAAAGTTTACGTCTAAATCAACTTCGGTATTAAATATGTAAGTGTTGCTACATGATTCATCGTGTCGTTCTATTTATTTTGCCCTCCTAATTAGATAAAATTGGCATACGAACGGTGTTCTTCTTATTATGAGCCCGTGTTTCAATCGGATCATATGTACGTCTATACGGTACCAACCAAATAACCAAATCATCTTATACTCGGACAACATTTACAACTACAGCCACTGCCGTCTGTAGTGTCGAATGAATAATGTGCCCCAAATTTAAATAAGATACGCATAACAAAGAGGCCCAATGGGACGGTATAGCTCACTTGGTATTACTTTCACAAAAGTAGCTTTCAAATTAAACCAATGTCGAATACTTTACCCGACAAAGAGAGATGTAGGCCAAATCTGATTAAAATTATATCTTCACATCGCTCCCGTTTACTGATATGTCGCGAGTAAACGGGAGCGATGTGAAGATATAATTTTAATTAGATTGATGTAGGCCAAATATCCAGTTAAGATATTTTCATACGCTTGACCCAAGTGATATTGAAATTGGGTCAATGTTGGTCATTGAACTAATTTGGTAACCCTTCATTTCGGAATACTACTGGCCAACACATCATAAACCTAGGCCTTTTGATATTTCTTCGGGTTGGTAAGTAAGGATTATGAAAGGATTTTTTCACACCACCAATAAAGTTTTCTATGTGACGTTTCGATGACTACTACGATATGTACACTATCACCTTCATCAGACAAATGACCAGTGAAGCGAATGCACACAAAAGTGTAAAATGTGTACGAGTTGTCCACAAAATCGATGTCGATTCGACTACGCTGTAAGCGTATGTACAAAAGTTGTTATATATGTACCGAAATGACTCGATTCAGCTACGCTTAGTTTAATAAAAATGAAATAGTCACAAAACAACAGGACAAAACACAAGAGCAGAACGGCATCGCTAGGGCAATGAGAACATGTGCATATCCGGAATGGGCCCTAAAACGGGTACAAAAACAGTGTCAAAGTAAGGGGAAGAACAAGAACAGGCCAATCAAGGATAAGAACAAAACCAAAGGTCAAGTGGTCATGCCGTATATAAAGGGTATATCAGAAACCATCCAGAGGATATATCGCGGTCATGGCATAGCAACAGCCATGAAGCCCCACAAGACGCTTCGCAATATCCTAGTACACCCCAAGGATAAAACACCTAAACAAAATCGGATGCAAAAACTGCGACGCATCGTATATTGGAGAGACTGGAAGGCGATTTGGGGAAAACTGGAAAGATACAGAAACCCAAGAATGTAGGAAATTCACCAGATCAGAAAGGAAGCAGTCGGTGTCCCAGATAAAGAATCGGATATCACAGACCATGCCACACAAAAAAATCATGTGATTGACCGGGATAACTCCAAAGTTTTTGACAGAGAGAGCAATCTGATCAAGCGGCAGATAAAGGAAGCCCTCTGGATACGCCGCAGTGGGCCATATCTAAATCGAGACGAGTGGTTCAAAGACTCTCGCACATCTATGACCAAGTATTAAACAAAGCGTAGGTGAATCGAGTCATTTCGGTACATACATAACAACTATTGTACTTACGCTTACAGCATAGCCGAATCAACATTGATTTTGTAGACAACTCGTACACATTTTACACCTTTGTGTGCATACGCTTCACTGTTCATTTGTATGATGAAGGTGACAGTGTTTGTACAAAGAGGTGTAAAATGTGTACGAAATGTCCACAAATCGATGTCGATACGGCTACGCTGTAAACGTATGTACAATTAGTTGTTATATATGAAGCGAAATGATTCGATTCGGCTACGCTTTGTTAAAATACTTGTTTGTACTTATACAAGTCGACTGATGTGACGGAGTAATACGGACTAAACGCTGTGAAATTACCAAAAAATGATAAGCACAGACGACGTTAATCTGATCAATTTCATTGACAAATACAACAGATATTATTTTTAAGTTTCATTGAGACCAACTTTTTTCTACAACCAAATTTTAAAAATTGAGTCCGACTTGGAACAAATTGAAACATAAAGATTGTAATAAAACATGTGAGATTTCGAGGTTGATTCTTTCGACAAATACGAGACAACAAAACGTGTACAGTATACCCAACTCTATAAGGGGAGGATACTAGAGGTGTGGTGTTCGACAACACCAATTAACCGACAGTAGGGATTACAACCTCACCAATAAATCTGCCGTGTCCAACTAAACCAATAAACCTACATTGAAGATTCAAACTCCACCAACATATCTACAAAATAATGTCAAAATATACCAAAACAGCTACGCAATTCTGTCCAATGAACCCAATAAACCTAAATTGTCCTATCATAATATACGAATCGGACTACAGTATAAATAAATCAATACATTTACATTTATTTCCAGCTAAACCAATATAATTATATCGTTTTACTTATATAGGACACCAGTGACAACTTGTGACTCGGTGCCTCGTATTCCTCCTTGTGGGTGTTACCAGTCCAATGCACTGAACATACCACTATTTGACATAGTGTTTGTTCACACCAGGCTTCACACAAGATGGGACTTTAATCAACCCACATTGCATGCTGCAACTGAGCATTTGTGTAATGGGACCAAGGTGTGGGTTTGCATATATTGTCAGTGTAATGGTACTGCCAGCTTGCTGTTCCTAGCTAGCTTACCTCACCTTGTCTCAGCCAGGGGTTATGTGCTGTTTTATGGTCTTAGTAAAAAGCACATGTACTTTCGGAGGTTTATACACAACATATATCGGCTTCTTATCGCTGGTGTTAATCTCGTCAAACTTGTACGTGGCGAATGGTCAATAATTCATTCGGAATTAATTGGTGTGGGTCGTTTATTACAGAGTGACAGCCAACTCTGATTAAGCAAGAGACCTCCTGTAAGCTGGCCTGGCCGCTATCAACGTGTGACGTCGTCTGCTTTTGGAAACAATGACATGTGCTGTGGCTTTTTCTTCTGTGCGTCGCAAAGGTAAATAAAACCCCGCCTAATCAACATGAATGTTTCAAGAGGTCCTGCCTTTGATGTCGATTGTGTACTTCTGATAGAGAATGTTACTGCTGCACGCGCACAGCCAAGGAGATATTAGCCAATCCCCAGGGAGGAACATGTTTGCGTCCGTCACGCGCATTAATTCGTACTGTCATATATATTTAAAACTTTGTCAAGACGACCGGACTGTTCCTGTAGCTATCTACCATGCCACAAGACTGTAAATCCATAGATGAAATGGCAAAAGTCCACGGAAAGTCGAGCAACCTCGTCCTCAGGCACGGAAACTTCTGCCAACGGAATACCGCAGTATAAGTCACAGGAGGTAGACAATCGAATCGGGTGATAGAGTCGACAGACGTGTCTTGTGCTCGGCTAATGAATAAGTTAGTCAATGAATAATCAAATTACAACACGTTGACCCAGTGTTATCACTGGTAGAGATACCATCGGTGCATTTCATTGCAATTACAAGAAAACATCTCAGCAGTAAACAATACACACTTTCTTCTACAAGATAAATCAAAGGCTACGCAATAGAATTAAAATTGATAAAATGTATTATGGTTGAGTTAGACAAGCCAATAAAGGTTGTTTGAATACCATTTTGACATGGTGCCTTCTATCTTGGAGTAGATGGCTTTGGTGGGTGGTAGGGTTGACACGGTGCCTTCAGCCTTGGAGTAGATAGCTTTGGTGGGCGGTAGGGTTGACACGGTGCCTTCTGCCTTGGAGTAGATAGCTTTGGTGGGCGGTAGGATTGACATGGTACCTTCTGTCTTGGAGTAGATGGTTTAGGTGGGCGGTAGGATTGACATGGTACCTTCTGTCTTGGAGTAGATGGTTTAGGTGGGCGGTAGGGTTGACATGGTGCCTTCTGTCTTGGAGTAGATGGTTTAGGTGGGCGGTAGGATTGACATGGTACCTTCTGTCTTGGAGTAGATGGTTTAGGTGGGCGGTAGGGTTGACACGGTGCCTTCTGTCTTGGAGTATTTGGTTTTGGTGGGCGGTAGGGTTATGACCAGGCTTCTCAAACAAATATCACAACCAATGATAAACGACGAAGCTTCTCAAACAAAAACACAACCAACGATAAACGACGAGGCTTCTCAAACAAATAACACCACCAAGGATAAACGACGAGGCTTCTCAAACATATAACACGACCAATGCTAAACGCTGTGGCTTCTAAAACAAATAACACAACCAATGATAAACGACGAGGCTTCTAAAACAAATAACACAACCAACATTGGCTAGATCGTTGAAATCAAAAGGCTGCAGTCGTTCTGTCATCTGAGCAAGTTGTTGGTTCGGTCATTCAATCTTTGTTGTAGAGAGTCAGTTGTTGGCCAGATCGTTGTAATCAAAATGTCTGTAGTCGTTCTGTCATGTTAGCAAGTTGTTGGTTTGGCCATATAAGCATTGTTGTAGTGAGTCAGTTGTTGGCCAGATCGTTGTAATCAAATTGTCTGCAGTCGTTCTGTCATCTGAGCAAGTGGTTGGTTTGGTCATTCCAGCTTTGTATTTAGGTCAGTCAGTTTTTGTTGTAGTGTGTCAGTATTGGTGGGGGTCAGCATAATTGGGATGAGACAAGTTGTGTTGCAGTGGGTTCATTGTTCGTTGGAGTCAAACCAGTTCTTCTGTAGTACGGCTGGTCATTTGGTAACTACTGTTTTCTTGTAAACAACGTTAACACTCGTAAAAGACAAAAACAAAAGAGATTTTGCTAGAAATGAACTTTATTCTAGTACTAAGACTGATACAAAACTGGTCGTAATTATAATAAATATTTATTTGAAAATATTCAACAACAGATATAACTGAACTGCACATTCTACCAATCTACCTGACTCATGTGTACAAATGATTGTGTTCAAATGTAGAAACTGTACAAACTACAGTGTTCAATTATGGTAAAGTGAAACATAGAGACACTAGAATGTTGATAAAATGTTATCATATTACAAGTGTACATAGTAATACAATGTATAACATTGTACAGAGTTATACAACGTGTAACAATGTACAAGGGTTTATACAGTGATAAATATGCAATATACAGAGAGTGTATAACATTGTACAGAATTATACTTATACAATGTACTTAGTGAGTCAAACAATGTACAGTGGGAGTTATACATTGACAGTGTGTCGAGATTCGTTAAATGGCCGAATTTGTACATTATTGTACAATATATTGTAGAATACATCCTATTACAATGTAGTATGACATTGTAAAACATCGTATTATTCTCTGGCACAGTTTAAGTACAACACAAATGTGTATTTCATGTAAATTTAATTTGAAGAGAAACAGTAAATAAAGCTCTGTTGTAGAAATGATTCAAATTTGTTGTATAAGGCTCAAGCTTATTATTACACAAGAAAGATTTATGATAACTCTGGACTACTGAAAACAGAAGCTTACAAACCTCCAGTCTGTATCTGATTTAACAAACGTTGCTTCATATATTACAAGTGAGTTGGCTATTTACTATTCATAGAAGTATCAACAAGATGGTCATTCAAGATGTACAAGATGGCTGCTCACCACCCATTATTACAAGATGGCTGCTCACCGTCCATTATTACAAGATGGCTGCTCACCAACCGTTATTACAAGATGGCTGCTCACCACCCATTATTGCAAGATGGCTGCTCACCACCCATTATTACAAGATGGCTGCTCACCACCCATTGTTTACAGAGACAGAATCTAGAGACATACAGCAGCCAACATTTTTTTTTCAAATAAAAAGTTCGACTTTTAAAATCACGGTGGATCTTGGTGGAAGACGATACAAATTCTCTGATGAGTAAAATTCTCAAAAATGATTCTAGTGGGTGAAATGAGTAAACTTCTCAGAAACCATTTGTAATAGGTCCAAGCAATGTCTACATATTTACATAACGGTGAGAAATACCAAAATACTGATATGGTGAAAAATGACTGCCCTCCTCTTGATCTGGTGTGATTGACCAAACCCACCTCCTGATCTGGTGTGATTGACCCCGCCCACCTCCATATTTGATGTGATTGCAAATGTTTTCATTTTAATTATCAAACTGTGTACTCAGAACCTCATTTCATCTGCAGGTCTCCGTGTGAAGCTTTTGATTTCCAGGCCCCAGGATCATGAAACGATCCTTAGTCTAAATTTGACCTCAGCCATTCACAAATAAGGTCACGAAAAGTGATACCATACGTGATTGGCTAAGCAATAACTTAAGTCTTAGATTGTTTCATGATCCCGGGGCCAGATGATTTCTAGAGGAAACAAACTTTCTATTCTTAGGTGTTCCTAGTTTTCAAATTTAATAAAAATAACTTTGAACTAGTTACAAAACAAATCAGTAAGTACCCAAGGAGTTAATAATAGCTGATTACCATTTCTTCAACAGAGGGGAACAACTTTAAACAGTGAAATATCAAATATGATAAAAATGAAAACCTGTGCAATAACTCAAATCTTTGACTTGATGGGGTGTAAATAAATTATTTCTCTTTTTTTCCAACTTTTATTATGTCAACTTGTTTTTGCAAGTTACTTTTAAACATCATTCGAGGGCTTTGTTTAAATGTTCGCTTGTATGCTAAAACACACCAGAGCAAAGCTTGTTTCTACATTAATGTTAACTGAGATTTTCTTCCGCTTCATTTCATTGCAATACGAGACATTAATACATGGTGTCAAGTTAAAAAATGGACGGATGTGCGAATGGCACAAAATTGACTAGAGATAATTGAAATACTACACACAGTATAACAGTTGTAATATGAACTACACTACACATCAGATTTATTGCTCATTCCCAGATTATTGAAAAAAAAAAATAAATGTTGTTTTTCATAATTGACAATTGATTTTGATGAACAAAAAACCAAATAAACTTTTCAAATGGTTGTTAATATTTTGAAAAAAAAATTGTTTAAAAGAAATTCCAGAAGATTAGATTTTAATTTTCAGGAGGTGTAAATTTTCAAGATGTCATAAATAAGAAATCTTGTTTATTAAAAAATTTGACCAAAGTATCATCTACTCAACAGTGGTGTTCAATTCACATTATATACATCAGGTAGAGTACAAAAATTATCAGCTTTAAACAAAGTAAAAAAAAAAAAAAAAGAACAAGGTGACTAATTCAGTTAAAACCCCCAACAATATCACAGTAATTTTAACTGAAAGCTGACTAGCCTTTTGGCAGATATAAATGGCAGGATTTTGTACCAACAAAAAAAAAAGTGCAATAGAAGGAATTTCATGTAATTTTAACAATAATGATTACGTATATATGTAATATACCTACAATTTATACAAAAACTCAACATAAGTACTCCGTGGTTGCGGTAAAAAGATTTGCATAATTACGATGACATCAATAACTGATTGCATACTATAAAAAAAATGTGCATATAAAACACACTAACTATAACTGCATAGTAAACCGTAACGTCAGTAAAAACGTGCATATTGCGAGTGTGTCCGGCCGTGAACTCCAGTCCTACAGAATCGGCTCAAATAACATCAACGCCACTAAAAATCATCTAAAACAGTTACACAAGAATTATTGCATTATAAAAAATCTGTGTCTTGATTGCACAAAAAGCCTGTTTGACAAATAATCAAAGAACTACATTTGTATACAACTTTGAGACATTGTTGTGGAACTAAAAATTGATATGAGGATTTCAAAAAGTATACACATTGTTAACAAGAGATCAGAGACTTTGCTTTCTTCTCAATATTTCATTGTTTTGGGCATTAATTAATAAAAGAATTAAAAACAAATATTGATTGCAAGTATCGTTTTGGCATAACCTGTTGATCAATATTTTATCATGACTGTCATTAACAAATTAAAACAGTAACAACTATCAAAAAGTTATGCCTGAAGCATCAACTCTAACAAAAGATTCATTCTAACAGGAATAAATCTTAAATCTACTATTTTGCATTTCTCCTATTTTGGCGAATGAAATTACACTTGAGAAATGAAACTCGTATTTCATCCATTTTCGGGAGACATTTTAAAAATGGAAAAACATGAATGGAAGAAACAAACGATTCTATGATCTGCTACTGTTCTGGATAGTCTAGCAACTGTGTGTGTAAATACACGATTTGGCAACATTGTATAATCTTACTACTAACAAATGATTTCATCATTCTATCTTGTGTCTTAGAAAATCTCGCAAATTACAATGCTAAACATGAATGAAGGAAATATTCAAATAAATATTGCAGCTTTTTGTGTCCTACAAAAAGGCAAACAAAATTGTTTGTAGAATATCACTTTGGCTGAAGTTCAGTAGATTGGTTTAGTGTATCAAAGCTGGCCCCACAATCCTCTACACGGCGGGATCAATGTGCAAGTACCCTAAATCTACTAACATAACTAGCTCGTTCCAATACAGGAAATAAATTAATCTAAAAATACAACATACAATACTTACATACCATTGAAACAATTACGGCTGAGATATACTTTATCCTCAGCAGAGTGGGGTATACACGCTGTGTAGGATATTGATATATATATAATATATGGAGGAGGGACAAAACAATTGTGAGGTATTGCATAAAAAAGTATGACAACAGCTAAATCTGGAGATTCTCATGCTACTCTGACAAAAATAACCAAGGGTTGTCTCCTCTTTGTGGCTTGGTTACCTCCCTTGGTATGCCATGAATACAGCAAATATTAATATGGCATTTATTACATTTTAATAAGGATATACCTTAAAAAATCATCAAACTGCAGAACCAGTGAGCTAGAATTTAGATAATGTTTCTGAAAAAAGATGTGTTTCATTTGATATTTGTTTCATTATTTTGTTTCAAAGGAAATTATAAGTGAAAATTTATAACGAGCATCAAATTCAGCCTTAAATTTCAGTAAAATGTTTTCAAACAAATATTGGCTGCCATTCTTCCTCTCAAAAGAACAGGTTTTGAGATAAAAATGTAAAATCTTGATTTAAATTTCATGGCCACAAAGGGGAGACAACTGAGGACTGTCGGAGCATACAACTACACAACTAGCACTGGCTGTACTCCGAAATGGCTAAAATAAATTAAGAATATGAAAATATTTGCATACCTGAGTTTTGCTGAAAACATACTTTATCACAACACCAGACGATAAGGATCACCACGAGACTGAGAAGCTTTACGCCACTACGTATCTACATTATACTATCAACAGTATTTACAGGTACAGGTCCCAGATTACTCACTACCTGTTACCGATACACGTCAAGTAAGTGTCCGTGCATATTATACATAATAACCATTACAAAAAACACATTACTTTTACTTCATAACTATTTAACATGCTAAAAATAAGTTAAAATATTATAAACATATCACATTTGGCCATTTTCTATATTTCCATAATTTTGCGAGTTACCATGACTACAGGGTTTGGTAATACTGTACAAAATGGACTAGATTTCAGTTTACCAGGTAGATATAGGCAGACACCCAAACAACGTGAGTGATTATTTAACTAATAACATTTTAATCAGTGACATGTCACTCAACCTGTTACCATGACAACAGGAAATTGATCAGGTAACGGGTCGGTATGAGTAACGGGACCAATTTGTTTGGGACTAGGTTACTCGTTCTAGAAGTAATACACCCACTGAACAGGCGTAGTTCATTGTACCGATAGTCTATTGAAGTACACCCTTATACTTCACTTCATCATTAAACGCTTTTAACACAAAAAATACTAATAACGCTATCATAACACAGCATTTGCTGATAGTAAAAAATACTCAAAACAAATAAAAAACATTTAGGATGACAGATTTCATTGTCATGAAGAAAGCACTGTTTTCTCTGAAATAGTAGATAATACAGCGTTAATATGTTTTTAATAATCAGTACCCGATGTTTTAAGTTAGATTAGATCCCCTTATCACTTTACTAGTATGGTACATAGTTCCTGCTTCTCATAACATTATAGAAGTTATAGGTAAAACCTGCCGGTAAGTATACAGGTAAGTATACAGGTAAATCCTGCAGGTGATTCTGGATACTTATTAACGAGTGTGATAAGCGTGATAACATTGATCTTCCTGTCCAATAGAAGTATACAGGATACTTCCCACTAACAAAAGTCCTACAGACTTTATGAGATCTAGGGTTAGACATCAATTAATGCTTTACTAGTGACTGTGAACACTTCCACGTCATCTCCACACTAACAACATGCATAGTTGTCCCCCTTGTATTGGAGGCTATTTCGAGATGTATCCACGTATGTATTGATTGAATCAGCACTTTGGCAGAATAATTACACCTCAATGAAATTTTTCGTAACCTGCATAAATTCCCTTCAACAACATCCATAATCTTCATAACCACTTATTGCTTGTAGCTTTGTACAATTGAAAAAAAACGTCATACTATCTCTCAAAAGAAAAGATGTATGAAAAAAAAGTCTCTTTGCATAAGTTATCTCGTTGCAATGTTCATAAACTATGTGTGATAATAATGTATAAGAATTCCTTCGTCGTCCAAGCCAATGATCGGCTCACACCCCTGAACATGTATTATTTAATAATCAGGAAAAACATGGTGACATCAGGATATGCCATTACGCTTTACTGTCCCATGCTGCCGGTGCAGATTGTCATTTTGACTGTGTCGGTTTCTGCTTTTCCTTGTTGAGAAGATTTTTTCACATCCTTTGACTGTACAGTAAAACATTTCCTTGGGATGGTTGATCTCAAAGTGTTCCTTCAACGCCAGGTTGTCTCTGAACTTGGACTGACACACATGGCAGTTCACTGCAACGCCATTCTCCCCTACAGATATCTCCTCCAGTTCGATGCCATTTTCCATCCCATTAGAATATGCCTTTCCATTTTCATTGATATCGCCTTCCTCCTCGATATCTGTATCGTTGTCTTCGTTGTCCGAGTCATGTACACCATTGACACGTTTCACAATGTCCCTGCCTTTATCTGCTTCCTCTGAAAGCATTTTTCTTTTCTCTTCATCTTCCTCCTCTTCTGCTACTTCCTCCTCCTCCCCTTCTTTGATACCCATTTCCTCATCATCTTCATCATCCAAATCATCCTCGTCATCCATATCGCCCTCGTCGATGTACACTTGGTTGCTGTCGTCAGTGTCGGAGGTTGACAGAAGTTTACTATGCAGTTTAAGATTGGAGGCATGACGGTTCCTGCTGCGTTTTGACGGGAAAGCAGCACTACAGCCTTCTACTGTACATTTGTGCATCAGCTTAAGATGGACGTTTTGAAAGTGCGACTTTACACCAAAATGATTCTGGAAGATTTTGTTACAAATAGTACATTTCCTCGGATTGTCTTTGTCAATCGGTACATCCATACTTTCTGTTGACATGCCGTTGCTGAGGAAGCTCTGTGATTCGTTGGATGACAGCGATTGGTTAGAATCCATGTCAGATAAATGACTGATGACAGAACAGATTGATCCGTTGTCATCGAAGTCCTCCTGACGTCGCGTGGAGTAGTCAACAGCTTGGTTGTTCCCAGAAAGAAGAGAAGCAATTTTTGGGAAGTCTTTCCTTGGGTGACAGGAATCCTTGTCCCTGCCATAACTATTGGATAAAAAAGTCTCCTCTTGTTGATCCATTTCGCCATTTCCTTCATGACAGTCTTCTCCTGAACTGTCTGAGCATTGCTGCATGCCATTGTGTTGCGATCGGGACTTTGTCGACCCCTCACATCCAGAGTTAATTTCCCCTCTGGTATAACTTGGTCTGCTGTGGCGTTCCTTTAACCCATCCTTACAACTGTCAGGGTCTCGGTCATCAGAATTATCGTCACTCATCACAAAATGGTCCTCTTCCTGTGCACACCTTGTGGGGACCATTGTTTTACGTCGACTAGATGTCTTCTGCTGTGGGGAATCGGCAATGGCTGAATCCTCGTCAATCATGTCATCTAATTCCGAGTCTGATTCCATCTTGATGTCTCGTCTGTCGGTCATACTCAAGTCGTGAGGACTGTCCAAGTCTTCATCCAGCTTGTGCTTTTTCTCTGGTGTAGGAAACATGGCTAAATGGGCATTCAGTTCTGCATAGAAAGCATGGTTGCTGCGGGCCAGATCTGAGGAGTCGAGGTCCATTGGGGACAGCTGAGACTTTGATCCAAGAGATGAATGCATCACCATAGTCGGCGGACTGCCCACCATGGGACTTCCAAGCATTCGGCTTGATTTATTAGTGCCGTCGTCAATGATACTGGCTCCGTCGGGTAACTTGATACGCTTCTGGGGCATATGTAACTTTGGGTTAGGGTTTGCGCTGTGTCTGTTCCTGCTCCGTCGGGAGCTGAACATCATATTACACCCGTCTACTGTACACTTGTGCATCTCCTTCAAGTGCACAGCGCTATAGTGGATTTTGAGAGCACCTTTATCACAAAATGTCTTGTTGCATGCTGTGCACAAAACACGCTTCTTTCCATTTGGCCCAATGAAAGTACATCCAAAACTAGACGAAGGTGTCCAGCTTCGTTTGACTGGATGGCTGGATTTACGAAAGTGTTTCATTTTTCGTTCATTGTAAAGGACCGACGCCTGGAGTTCCTGCTGCTCCTTGCTGCTGCTTGTGGAATAGTCAATGGCATTGTTACAGTTGTCATCCTGCGGAGGTAATACTGGAAGCGTCATGGGGGTCGCCAATGGCGTTGCTATGGTAATTGGTGTATGTTCCCGGCTCTCTGGGGGGGCTTTTATTGGGGTGAATGGAGGGGTAGATGAGCTGTGTGATGTTGGTGTGATGCTGAGGTTTTTGGGACTTTCGCTGGGTGATGATCCTGGCAAATGTTTCTCAGGGATGCTGGGACTGATTGTTGGACTGCCTTGCTCCCGCCTGTAGTCAAATGGCTGCATTGTCTGAAGTCTACCCAGCGGAGAAGTGGTTACTGGGCTAGGAGAGGCTGTCACCGCAGGAGGTCGTAAGTCACGAGACGAGGGTGGTGAGAAGTTGGGCAGAACGGGTGGTGTCATAAGACGACTGCCAACGGGCACAAATGGAAGTCTATTGGCAAACAGATGCCTAGATTCAAGACTATGCATGTAACTATGCATAGAGTGGTTGCTTCGTTCGATGAATTTCTTGATCTCAGAGTCAGCTCGGGATGACTGCTTGATGAAAAGGTCTTGCTGATCTTTGGTATCTTGTAAGATGATTTCCTGGGCGATAGACTTTGTTTCTCCAAAGCGCAGGAACTGTTGGAGGATGATATGTTCCTCCTCTCGTGTGGCCACCGTCCATTTATCTAGTACGTGTCCCGTAGAATCCTGAAAAGACAGAAAGGGAACAACTCATCAGAACAGATCAAACTTCATGTAAGGGAACAACTCATCAGAACAGATCAAACTTCATGTAAGGGAACAACTCATCAGAACAGATCAAACTTCATGTAAGAGAACAACTCATCAGAACAGATCAAACTTCATGTAAGAGAACAACTCATCAGAACAGATCAAACTTCATGTAAGAGAACAACTCATCAGAACAGATCAAACTTCATGTAAGAGAACAACTCATCAGAACAGATCAAACTTCATGTAAGAGAACAACTCATCAGAACAGATCAAACTTCATGTAAGAGAACAACTCATCAGAACAGATCAAACTTCATGTAAGAGAACAACTCATCAGAACAGATCAAACTTCATGGAAGGGAACAACTCATCAGAACAGATCAAACTTCAAGTAAATTAATTGCAATCAAGCAATCACATGTTTTCCAGACTTTAATTTAAAATGTTATTCTGTCAGGTGACCTATCATCATAATAATCTGTCAGGTGACCTATCACTATAGTATTCTGCCAGGTGACCTGTCACTATAGTATTCTGTCAGGTGACCTGTCACTATAGTATTCTGTCAGGCGATCTATCATTATAGTATTCTGCCAGGTGACCTATCACTATAGTATTCTGTCAGGCGATCTATCACTATAGTATTCTGCCAGGTGACCTATCACTATAGTATTCTGTCAGGTAACCTATTACTATAATATTGTGTCAGTATTCTGTCAGGTGACCTATCACTATAGTATTCTGTCAGGTAACCTATCACTATAGTATTCTGTCAGGTGACCTATCACTATAGTATTCTGTCAGGTGACCTATCACTGTAGTATTCTGCCAGGTGACCTATCACTATAGTATTCTGTCAGGTGACCTAACACTATAGAATTCTGTCAGGTGACCTATCACTATAGTATTCAGTCAGGTGACCTATCACTATAGTATTCTGCCAGGTGACCTATCACTATAGTATTCTATCAGGTGACCTGTCACTCTAGTATTTTGTCAGGTGACCTATCACTATAGTATTCTGTCAGGTGACCTGTCACTATAGTATTCTGTCAGGTGACCTGTCACTCTAGTATTCTGTCAGGTGACCTATCACTATAGTATTCTGTCAGGTGACCTATCACTGTAGTATTCTGTCAGGGGACATAGTACCTTGGTAAGTGGTTATCATTGTTTATAAAAGATAAATGACCTTCATTCCCAATTCATTGTAGTTTTTCTGACAGTAAAGCTGTAAATAATTGAAAAGTAGGCGTTTGAGGACTTAAAGTCATACAATGTAATCATACTACATAAATTTGATCTATAAAAGTCCAATGACTAGATGTCATTAAATGGTTTGATCTATAAAAGTCCAATGACTAGATGTCATTAAATGGTTTGATCTATAAAAGTCCAATGACTAGATGTCATTAAATGGTTTGATCTATAAAAGTCCAATGACTAGATGTCATTAAATGGTTTGATCTATAAAAGTCCAATGACTAGATGTCATTAAATGGTTTGATCTATAAAAGTCCAATGACTAGATGTCATTAAATGGTTTGATCTATAAAAGTCCAATGACTAGATGTCATTAAATGGTTTGATCTATAAAAGCTCAATGACTAGATGTCATTAAATGGTTTGATCTATAAAAAAGTCCAATGACTATATATATATATATAGCTAGATGTCATTAAATACTTATGTGGCTGCATTAAAGAGCCATGCCATTATCAATGTTAATAACATTCTCGTCACAATTGGTTCACTAATATGTATCAGACCCACCTTTCATTGAGCTATTAGTATACAAATGTAAACCATTGAGCTATTAGTATACAATGTAGGTACTCAGTGACTGATAATTAACATTGATCAGACTTGTTACCCCAGGACACGATATTCAGTACAATAACCATCGGTTACTAATACGTTTCCTCGTGTTTTTACCCCTTTTACAGCTCTATCACTCAATAACCTGCAACAAGGCAACAGCATAATTGAAGACATAAATGATACAGAATTCACCGGGAAATGACACCAAATAACAATTTTGGTCCTGATGTGATCCGACATTAATTAGCGATGGAGACAAAGTCTTGATACAATCCCACATTAAGTTGTCACAGAGACAAACTCAGGAACTTCCTTGTTGTTTTAAACAGGCTGCTTTTTTCCACGTATCAATACAAGTGTACGCGGCTAATGTTCGGACGTGTGAGGACATGTCAGGAGCACATATTTATTGGACTTGACTTGTGGTCCCACTTGTGGCGTTGGGCCACGTTCGGCCCTGGTGATCCACACCTCGACACCGGGACTGGGTCATAAAGTTTCATTTGCACCCTTGCTTGTATGACAAGGTAACAGACACGTCAGTATCACATTAAACATGCATGGAACAAGGCAAGGTGTCAATGACATGTAGTGTTTTTTGGATCAACATCCAGAGTGACAAAAGAAAGTGTCTTGTAGATATACCAGACCAGCCAGATGTTGGAACCACATCAAGCTTCAATAGCTCCTTATAAATCTACCCCCATGTCAACTAAAATCTTAAGGAGTTTTTAACATGTCTTACTATAAACATGATAAAATATGTCATGTCTTTAATATAATTTTATCTTCTTAAAATTTTACATTAAATTTTGTGAAAATGTTCCTTATCTGTAAGTTTTCATCACTTATTACAAAAAGCAGTAAGAGTTGATATGTTTATTCTTCATTTTTTAAATTTAACATTATCTAAAATTTCCAAAATGAGAAATCAATTTCCTTTGCAAAATATCTTGTAATTGTAAGCTATCTCCATCAGAGAAATAGGTAACACAGGTATTCCAGTCTGTGTATGTATATGATTATTCAGACCAAGCTTTTCTATCTCTATCAACGAACTACATATCACATCATGAACTTGTAGACATCCATTGACTGAGAAACTTACTTTTTATTTCTTTTTCTAAATTATGATATTACCGAATGATTACGTGAAATAAAAATCATTTCCTGTGCCGAGATAACTAAAAACGCCTTGGAAGCCAACCTGCGTCATTTGTAACATTGAACTCGTGTTTAGAGTGATTTTTGTCTTTTCCAAAGATAAGTATGATATTTGCTTGTTTTTATAACCAATGACAGGTGCTATCCAGATTGGACACCACATTCTGTCTTTAAGGAGCGGAAATCAAGTCAAGAGCTTCAAGAATCCCACTGATAAAACAGGAACAGGTGTCTCCTAGCTAATGGGGAACATCCATAGGAGATTTTTTTCTACAAGACATGTGCGCGTGTGCTGTTACTGGGGCACACAGCCGTGCAACAGAGGCCACATGACGCATCCTCTGTCCCAAAATAGTTGTGAAAGAACAACGGCGGTATCTCGTCACAGCCATCTCCCTCTAAAGCCGAGAGGCCGCCATTTTTCGCCATTTTTCGTTTCACACGACCCTATACAGAATCTATCACAAGTGGGGCCCAGCTTTCATGTCATTTTATTTTCCAATAAATTTCTTCGCTGTTCAGTTGAAAGCCCGTCATAATTGACAAACCTGACATGTGTTGGTCATACAAGTTCTGTTTGGAACCCCTCGGGAGTTATGTAACAGGCGCGAGGTCTCTTTTGATTATACTATGACATGGAAACCTTCCATATAACTAGGCAGATCGGGCCAGTCAAGACAGCCAAGCAATTATACACAAACACCTAGATAATTGTCTGCTTAAATTTTAATATTTCCCAAGCTTCATTGTCTGTAATAAATATTTCTGGTGCGCTGATAAGCAAGCAATGTGGATGAAATACATCAAATGTCACATGATCAGAACACAGTTAATGAATATTCATTTCATCAAGTATAATATTCTCAGTACCCAAAAATGTGTTTTATGAGAGCGACTTCCTGTTACCACAGCAACGGGATGCCAATTTGATGGAAGAATTCATTATTCGACATAACACTGAAGAGTCCTACTTAAACAAACTAGGCGTTATGAAGAGGATCAACTTCACACGTCTGAGGTGGAGATGTTGTTGGCGTAGACTTTATTTTTGGAGACTAGTAATTGTCACACATTTAATACTTGGAAAGATATTTTCATATTAAGTGTCATCACTAGAGTTCGGCTATTTTGATCAAATTTGATTGTTCACATGAAACACGGACCTTATTGTAGGCGGAAGTGAAGGCTAATGGCACCAGCAGGAATAGTAATGGGGTAATATACTGTAACACGTTCCCTAAATATTTGTAAATGATCACTACCCATTAGCTGATTGTCCTTCCATAAAATGCTGGAAGGTTGAGTCAAATTGCAGCTTTTTGAATTTCTAATACCTAGTGTGACAAGTTAAATTTGCAGTCTTAAAAATGTCCATCCTCTTATCTTTCATATGACCAGTCCTAATTTGTGGTGTATCTATTACAGTGTGGACAATTCTTAAAAGTTAATCTACCAAAATAATCCATGACTCCACTTTTCAGGCTTTAACTCATTCACCCCTGAAGACACATTTGAACTCTTCTAGTTCAAAGGTTGGAATAGTTCATTATGAAATTTCAGGGGTGAATGAGTCAATAAGGATTACAATGAGACCTGTAAGGATTCAGTCACTGTCCATTGTTACCCCTGTACTTGGAAGAGAAACCTAAACAACAACCCACCCCACCTTCCCACTACATTCATTGATTAGGAGACTGAGAGCTTATCAACATTAGGACATAGCGTCCCATAAAAACGGGTCACAAGGGACCAACGCAATAATCAGCTATCGACAAAATTATATCACAGGCTACTACGCCAAAAATGGCTGCATGTCCATCGCTGAGCGGGCGTATATGCCTAATTGTACATGCTATTGTGCATGTCGCACTGGCATTTAGTACAGAGCAAGTCATTGGTAACTTCTTCACCGTCAGTAACGTTATAGAATTGGGAAATCATGTTAAATTTGTCATAAAACTTGCCAAATGGTTACAAATAAAATTATC